ATGAAGAAACAAACTCAAAGCCTACAGACAATTTGAGATGGTGAGAATAAAATACAAAAGAGACTATTCTGACCCAGATTGAAGCTATGAACAACAAGCCAAGAATATTTCTATAATGTTTTTTATTATATTCTTCTTTACATTTTATCAAAATCTTTTGATAAGGTGACTAATGTTTTAAATAATGAAAGGAAGAAGAGTTTACCAGTCTGGTTTAATTTCACAGTTTATAACTAGGCACAATGGAAGTGAGGAAATTCTAGGAATCTATGACTTTCTGGTGTTTCTTTGAGTGCCGTTGCACCAATTCATTAGTATGCTTGTTAAGTGTATGATTTCATAATTCATTGTTTATGAATCAATCATGGCTTTTTACTTATATCTATACTGCTTTTGAATGTGCTGGTACATTTGATTACAGAATTAATAAGTAAACTAAGTGAGACACAAACTTAAACACCAGAACTAAAAGCTATAGATTGAACCTATGAGGGGTTAGAAAGGAGTAGAGTGAACGATGTATGCACTGAGCAAATGTGATCCATTTACAAAGGAGGTGTGTGTGTGTGTGTGTGTGTGATTCTGTCAGTCTGTTTGTCTGACTGTTAGTCTCAATTTTTATGTCCATGTATTCGTTTCTCATATTAATTTTTATTTCTGCTAGTTTGTTCCTTTTGTTTTGTTCTTATTGATTTTCTTTTTTATTCACCTGTATGTTTTCTTAAAAGAAAGAGAAAGAAACTGTGGATTTGGAAGGGTAGGAAGGTGAGGATAATCTAGGAGAAGTAGGGAAGAGAAAATTATGATCAGATTATTTTGTATGAAAATAACCTTATTTTCAATAAAAAATAAAATAAATTAAGTAAAAAAGACTTATAGTAGTATTTATCAGACTGACAATGAGCCACAACAAGTAGCCCTTCTTCCCAGGCCTCCTGGAGATACCTAAGAAACCTGCAATGGTAACTAAAGTGTTCTTGTTACTTATTTTTGTTTTAAGGTTTTTCCCTTAAAAAATCTCAGATATTCTGTTATGTTATTAGTACTTAGGAAGATACTCATTTTTTTCCTAAAGACACCAAGCAGAAGAAATCCTCAAGTAGGTAAAAACTTAAGAGTGGCTTCCAATAGCAGCAGTGATGACTCAATCATTAAAAGCTAGGCTCACAAGGCTTCAAGAGTGACTTTAAAGTAAAGAATTGTTCACTACAACATCTTAACCTCTCTTGTTCCTGAAAATCTTTTTTTTCAGTTATTTATTTTGTTTGTGAGGGATGAGAGGAAGCAAAAAATTCCTTAAAGTAGTATGGAAGTCAGGAAAGAAGTTCGATAAATGAGTTACCTCCTACTACCACGAGTTCTGCTAACTGAGCTTATGTAATCAGACTTGCCAGCAAGTTCCCTTACCCACTGAGCCAACTAACTGGACCTTGTACCTGTGATTCTAAACCTAACAGCCATCCTTGCCTTGGCAGGACAGGTTTATGCTGACACTCTTTATTCCTCATAGAGGTGACAAGCTTTGACACATTTCCTAAAAGATGAATATTAACTTTCTTTTCAGAAAACAGAGAGGAATCCCTTCATTTACTATGGAATTGAAGATGATACAGGAAAATGGAAGTGGTGGTCTATGGAAGACTGTCCAGTATAAAGTGTAAGCCAGGCCAAAAACTTCAACTTCTCTATTTTAAATTGTCCTCAAGCGAAGATGCATTGCAGCTGAAGTCTGTGAGACACAGTTTCATGTAGGTGTGTGTTCTGGGATGTAATATTCTTCCTAAGAATCATTCATATATATACATGTGTGTGTGTACATACATACATATATATATATGTATATATATATATATCTTTAGTGTACTTGACTGTTTACATTACATAGAAAATCCAACAAGTGAAGAAAAATTATACTTTGCATATTTAATAAATAAAATTCCTTCCACTATTTTTTAAGTAAATGTTTCTAAATCATAATAAGGTAAATAAATTCAGAAAAAACTCAAAAGTTCCTGTGCAAATTAAACCACAATGTGCTAAAATCCACAATCCTTGTCATACTTACACGTTGTGTGGGATTCATTTTGCACTTTACAAAAGGCCACTATAACCATGTGAACAGAAGAAATAGAAGGGATCACATGTTCGTTCAAATAGAAACACTGTTATAGCACCATGGTTCTCAGACCAGCAGCCAAAGGTTCAAACCTTCCCCTAAGGCAGCTGCAACAGCAAAGTCCTTTCTCCCTCATCCCAGCCTGCCTGTTCAATGAGACTCTGCAACTCAGTCTCTACCTGAGTTGGTAAGGGATGGCAGCTCCTTCCTCTCCTTTGGAGCTCTGTGTCATACCTGGCCCTTCCACCTGTGCTCATGTCTGTAGGAGTGACTAGTTACTTTCATAGTCCCAAGCAAGGAAGAAAGCTGACTCCAAGGCCAGAGAGGCATTTAAGGAGATAGAACAGTGAAAAATAGGATGTGACCCATAGGGACGTATCAGTATCAATGTAGAGTGTTTGGTGCCATTTGAATTTCACTTGATCTGACCTCATCATCTTCTTCTTTAAGGTTGTCAATATCAGACAGAAAATCCCTAAGGCCTGATTCAGATGTGAAAACCTGGATGCCAAGTATACTGTTTATGGAGATAAGATCCAAGTCCAGAAAATACATGTATATATGAATTGTTGCAATACCATACCTATGAAAGTCAGCTCTTTTTTTATGGTTTTCCAAGACAGGATTTCTGTTTATTCTTTTATGTCCTGGAAATCACTTTGTAGATCACGCTGTCCTCAAACTCAGAGATCCATCTGCCTCTGCTTCCTGAGCGCTGGGATTAAAGATTTGTGCCACCACCACCGGACCTGCTCTTAATTTAAGAAATGGTGCTTTCATATTATATTCTTTAGACATTTTTCTATGATCTAAGTTCCATGTTTTCTATCAATAACTTTTATACTTGTTAGTCTATAAGTTTTATATATAAGACTTAAAAATAAAACCACATTTTTGATAAAGCAGTGATTCCTTGGAAATATCTTTTAGCCATTTGAGAGTTGCTGGAAAATAAAACAAGAGTTGCCTGCAGACAAAAGTATAGAATACAGGCTTTATGTGTGATGTTTAAGGATAAAGCATGCTAAAGAACAAATAGCCTATGTTCACCCCAGAAAAAAATAAGGCATCAATAAGACACAGGAGAAAGTTGATTCAGCCTTGAGAACCATTTCCAAAGCTAGTGTGCTAAGGATAGAACCATTCTACAGGCCATTTTTGCTCAGCAATTTTGAGTGTTTCATAGAGCTTAATTATTTGAGTAAAGAATCCACAAAGTGAGGTGTTATGAGTGGGGAATATTATTGGCAACAGTACAAATCTCAACACAAATTCTGGAATTTGTCAATGGAATGTCAGTAAAAACCTTAATATTAAAATTAGGGAAGCTTTATGATAAAGTAATTAAGAAATTAGGATTCCCAGTGAAGCCTTTTTGGAATATTGTTTACTTCTCTCTTTGCTGTGAAAACATACCTGACCAAAGCAACTGAAGGAAGACTGGTGTTTTTTCTACTCCAAGTTTAATGATAAAGGAGGGTGAGATGGCTGGTCACATTGTGTTTACAGCAGGAAGCAGTGCTGTAAAAGTGGGGCCCCTTGTTCCATCCTGCCCGGCTAGTGTATACCCAAAATAATCACACAAAAACTGTATTCATTTAAAACACTGCCTGTCCCATTAGCTATAGCCTCTTATTGGCTAACTCTCATATCTTGATTAACCCATTTTTATTAATGTGTATTGCCACTTGACTTTGGCTTACCGGCATAAGTCTAACCAATATCTGTTTCAGGCAGGAGAATCATGGCATCTGCCAGACTTCCGTTCTTCCCAGAATTCTGTTCTGTCTATTCTGCACACCTAAGTGCTGCCCTATCAAAAGACCAAGGCAGTATCTTTATTCAACCAATGAAAGCAACACACAAACAGAAGAAACCTACACCAGTTCCCCTTTTTCTGTTTAAACAAAAAAGCAAGGCTTTCATTTTAACATAGTAAAATTACAAATACCAAAACAGTTATCAAGAAAGAATTACAGTTACAATATTTATATTTATTTTATCTTTTATCATAACAAGGGAAAACTATAACTAACCATTCTTCAACTCCATCAAGGATTCCAGAAGGATATAATACTACCTAAGTAAATGAGAAGTAAGCAACTTCCAAAGCTCTAAAATTGACAGAGACATCCTGCTGTCTGGACAGTCACCCAAAGTTCTTCTGTACCTTTGCAGCATCCATATTCTGCCTATAGGCCCATAGTATCCAGTAGACATTTCCATGAAGCAGGAAATCTCAAAGACATTCAGTCACTTTCTTTTGTATCCTGCAGAATGTCTCACAGACTCATTCATGAAGAAAGAACCTCAAAGGACCATCTCACCTCTAGCCAAGTTCAGCAGTCCTCTCTCTGCTGGTTCTTCATGTCCAGTTTATGCAACAGTCCAGACAAGAGCAGTTTTCTTACCCAAATGGCTAGCAAACTCCATAAGGAGCCTCTTCGATGTCCATCTTCCTCTTAAGTAGCTGGTGCTGCCAGGAGGAGGCTTATCTCATTTTCATGAAAAGCCCTAAGTTACTAAAATATTTTAAATGCCATATTCTGTAGTCTTTGAAAGATATGAAGAATGCCTATTCATCTGAAATATATCTATGCACATCTAGAAAATCTAACAAACATGATTACAAACTTGACTATTATCAATGATTATTCATTTACAACCTATATTTCCTAAGTATACATTACATTTGTAAATAAGCTCCACAATCACAATACCTTAATCAAGATCAGAAATATGCATATAACAAAATTGACCCTAAATTAGTATCAATAAAGCAAAATCCATACCAATGCAAAGTATTCATATCGTTATCATATCCCCCTTTAAGTGTAAATGAACATTTATAAACAATATTTGAGAATATGGGTGTAGTTTTTTCTCTCCAAACTACTTCGTGCTGAATGAGGGTGCTGTTAATCAGGTCTTTCATGGTGTATCCTATGTACTAGGTTCATCTCAGACACCTGTTGAACGAAGAAATTTTGGAGGGTGTTCATGACAACCGTTCTGGAGGACTTGGTCTATCATACCATATTGGTGTAGAAGGAATCCACAGGGTCTCATCCTCTGTGAAAACAAAAGAAGAACCTCTTTTCCAAAGTATCATATCCTTAGACCCAAATTCTGAAGTCAAGATACATTTATAATATACACCCTGGTTTATCTTAGCCCATACAATGAAATGTCTCTTTGTACTTAGCTCCTTTACAGTTAAAAATTCAAAGAGAGCACAATAAAATAAATAATCCAGACTATCTGTGAATTTTCCATTTTTATGTGGCTTATTTTTCTTTTTTTTATAATCTATGACTATCTGTACTCTGTTTCTTTAAAGACTTTACCCTTTTTTTTAAAGCATTAACTTTACTTTATGACTTTTTAATACTCTTTTTCTTCTCTCTCCCAAGCCTACATATGTCTATCTAACACTATGACCCATTTAGAGGTCTTTTATGTCTGAATCTGTCCTGTTGCACTGTCTTTAATTCTCTACTGTATGGAAGAGCTTTTGAGATGCTAAGCTCTTCAAAATCTAAGATGCAACAATCCCAGGTCAAATACAGGTACTGCCTGCTTGCCCTGCCCAGTCCAACATGGTGGAGCCGCTTGTGCCTCTGAGCTGTGTGCTCTGCAACCCTAGCATGGTGGAGCTGCTCTAGATATTGGCTCCACCTCTCTACAATTTCAAAATGGTTGAACATACCATTTCTGCTAGCTCTAGGGCTGTCAGGTAAAAAAAAAAAAAACCACACTTTAACTCTGAGACTGAACGTGCAGCACATAATTTCTTTTTATCTGAGTTATAGCCAAATCTGCCATGCAGAACACTGTGCAGCCTGGGAGCATCTCTCTGTATGGTGGCAGAAATCTGCCATGCTTTCTTCCTTGTGCACGCCTAGTAAACCTGATCCTGCCGCCTGCCCAGACAGGGAGCGCTGAGTCACAAACATGGTCTCAGCCAGTTTCCTCCAAACCCTAGTGGGCACAGACACACCCATGTCCCACAAATGTCATTGAAATGCTTTATAGCTGGAGTTCACACTGGCAGCACAGCCCAGGAAGCCGTGTTTTAGAATGGCGTGGCTTTTTTTCTGCTGCTATTGCTGACTCTTTGTGGCATGCCCCAGCAAACAGCAAAAAGCTATGTTAAACTCTCTCTCTCTCTCTCTCTCTCTCTCTCTCTCTCTCTCTCTTCTTTTTAAGCCCTCTCAGGTTTTTAAGTGGTTTTAGTCTATCACGTAGGAGGGCCAATTTGTAGTAAAAGCGGGGTCCCTTGTTCAGTCCTGCCTGGCTAGCAGACATAAATAAATAATCACACAAAAACTATATTCATTTAAAACACTGCCTGGCCCATTAGGTATATCCTCTTATTGGCTAACTCTCACGTCTTGATTAACCCATTTCTATTAATGTGTATTGCCACTTGACTGTGGCTTACCGGCATGAGTCTAACCAGCATCTGTCTTGGGCAGGAGAATCATGGCATCTGCCACACTTTCGTTCTTCCCAGCACTCTGTTCTGTCTACTCCGCCCACCTAAGGGCTGGCTATCAAGAGGTCAAGGCAGTCTCTTTATTCAATCAATGAAAGCAACACACAAACAGAAGAACCTCCTACAAAACAGGAAGAAGGTTATAGAGCTGAGCGCTCTCTCTCCCACTGCCCCTGTCTCTCTATCTCTCTCTATTTCTTCCTCAGTCTCTCTATCTCTACTTTTCTCTCTCTCTTTTTATTTACTTCAGAACCTGATCCTATTCAACAATATCGCCCATGCTTAACAGAAATGTTTCTGAATTCATTAACCCTGTCTTGAAAGCCCCTAATGTTCATGCTCAAAGGATTCTCATAAGTGATTTTAGATCCTGTCAGGTTTACAATCAGTTTTAACAGTCACATGGGGCAATGATCTGACTCAGAGTTCAGGAGCACAGAATAGGTACAAATAAAATAATTGAAGGAAGTAAAGAAGTCAAGTACATCTCTTATCTTGGAAATCAATGTCTTATTTCCCATTCTAATATCCTGTAAATTAAGGTTTAATGGAGAGAGGTTAGTTCATAGTCATTTCCTATCAATAGTCAATGCAACTAGAAAATCCTATGTGGAAGGGAATTCCATTGTTGGTTTTGTTCTTTTGTTTTTCTTTTATTAATCATTTTGTTTTAGGTTTGCTCTCCAGCATATGAGGATGAGACAGGCTAGCATGGGGAACAGCTTAGCCACTCAAGACTCCACTTTTCTTGTTTGATAGCCACAGTTGCACATTCCAGCCTGAGAACATTATCTGCATCTCCTGTGTACACACATTTTTCTACCAATATATCTGAAACCTATTGACCACATGGACACCCACATATATCAGGTCACATATATATATATGTGTGTGTGTGTGTGTGTGTGTGTGTGTGTGTGTGTGTGTATTTGTGTGTGTGTTTGTATGTGTGTGCTCATGTGCTGTATTGTGCAAATGCATGCGTGCATGTGTGTTTGGGGAAGTAGAGGGGGGGAAGACAGAGAGAGAGAGAGAAAGAGAGAGAGAGGGAGAGAGAGAGAGGGAGGGAGGGAGAGGGAGAGGGAGAGAAAGCATGATGATGATAATGTTGACCTGATAGGTAAATACTAAGGATCTGGAAGAAGTTGGATGAAGGAAAAGACTATTAAAAAATATACTGTAGCTAATTTTATTTTTGAAAGACAGTAAGTACCAAAAAGGAAAAAAAGGAATCACAGAAATGGTAGCAAAGGTGCATTCAGCAGAGCAGCAAAGACATGCAGGCAATCAGGAGGTCAAAATGAACAAACGTGGAGAGGCTGCAGGCTTCCTGAAGTGGCAGCTAAAGAGAATGAGGATGGTGGTCTCAACAGCAAGCAGAGAATGGCAGAAGCAGAGAAAATGATTAAGTATCAAAGGCATAGAGAGCTAGAGGTTCTGGGCATAGGAAGACTTCCTGAGGAATGTTGAGCTTTGGGAGCCAAAGTTCTCAGGTACACTAGAATCATTAATACTAGCAGCTACCAAAGACTTAAAACTCCCCCAAACTAATCTCTCCATAAAGCTACAATTCTAGGCCAAGTTAATGCTGAATTATAAGTCTTCAAGATTTGGAAAGCAAAGGATATGAAAGGCTTAGGTCTGTCTACACAAGTGCTATAGACCCTAGATGTAAGAAAACTACAGCACCAGAAGGCACAACTCGTAGCTGCTCCTTCCTGCATGCTACATTCTCTCTGTCAAAATCAGAGGGCACAAGAGCTGCCAAGGACAAGCTTTTGAAAACCCTCTGGCATGTCTATGTGTGCATCGAGGCAAAGTGTACAACCCTAACATGATGAATGATAACACCTGAAGAACACGATCCTGCTTGCACACCAGCTGGGGTGATCTCACCACCATCCACTGCCTGTCATCATTTGTTCTGTGTCTGAAATTGCAGGAAACATCAGAGATTTCCCCACTCTCCTTGACAGAAAAACACTAGGATAACGGTCATTTAAGTTCCCCGATGTTACTAACAGCCGAGAGCTTTGCCACAGTTGTCAAAACTGTCCCACGCTACCGTCTCGCCCGCAAGAACGACGCAGGACACTTAGGATCCTTTGTGTCTTGAGAGAGAGAGCATAAGCTTCCAAAGCGGAGACCCAGAATGAGGGAACCCATCCCTTATATAGGAAACAGTCCTCGCTTCGGACGTGTCACTCTTGGATTGGTCCGCTGCCCATTGTCCCAGATGATGCCTCGGGAGTAGGCAGGGACAGCAGTGGGAAGTTACCAAGCACATGTGCATTATCTTGTTCACCTGGCGGTGAAACCGGATGCCAGCGCCATCTTGTAATGGAGTATGTGGTTGCGGTCCTCTACATCTCCCCCTTTTTTACTTCTTTGCAGAAAGGCAACTCCCTCAGAAGGCAAAAATAGAGGTCGCACTTCCCAAAGTGGAAATTATAATGGGCTTGCATGGAATCTGCCCCTAGGTTCATGACATCTGGAACTTATCCGGCTTGCCCTCTGCCATTTTTCTGGGAAAGGGAATATGTGGCAGGAAACCC